TCCATACTCGGTGTCCTTGGGCCTCTCCATTCTTCCTCCATACTCGGTGTCCTTGGGCCTCTCCATTCTTCCTCCATACTCGGGGTCCTTGGGCCTCTCCATTCTTCCTCCATACTCGGGGTCCTTGGGCCTCTCCATTCTTCCTCCATACTCGGGGTCCTTGGGCCTCTCCATTCTTCCTCCATACTCGGGGTCCTTGTGCCTCTCCATTCTTCCTCCATACTCGGTGTCCTTGTGCCTCTCCATTCTTCCTCCATACTCGGGGTCCTTGGGCCTCTCCATTCTTCCTCCATACTCGGGGTCCTTGGGCCTCTCCATTCTTCTTCCATACTCGGGGTCCTTGGGCCTCTCCATTCTTCCTCCATACTCGGGGTCCTTGGGCCTCTCCATTCTTCCTCCATACTCGGTGTCCTTGGGCCTCTCCATTCTTCCTCCATACTCGGTGTCCTTGGGCCTCTCCATTCTTCCTCCATACTCGGTGTCCTTGGGCCTCTCCATTCTTCCTCCATACTCGGGGTCCTTGTGCCTCTCCATTCTTCCTCCATACTCGGGGTCCTTGTGCCTCTCCATTCTTCCTCCATACTCGGGGTCCTTGTGCCTCTCCATTCTTCCTCCATACTCGGTGTCCTTGTGCCTCTCCATTCTTCCTCCATACTCGGGGTCCTTGGGCCTCTCCATTCTTCCTCCATACTCGGGGTCCTTGGGCCTCTCCATTCTTCTTCCATACTCGGGGTCCTTGGGCCTCTCCATTCTTCCTCCATACTCGGGGTCCTTGGGCCTCTCCATTCTTCCTCCATACTCGGTGTCCTTGGGCCTCTCCATTCTTCCTCCATACTCGGTGTCCTTGGGCCTCTCCATTCTTCCTCCATACTCGGTGTCCTTGGGCCTCTCCATTCTTCCTCCATACTCGGGGTCCTTGTGCCTCTCCATTCTTCCTCCATACTCGGGGTCCTTGTGCCTCTCCATTCTTCCTCCATACTCGGGGTCCTTGGGCCTCTCCATTCTTCCTCCATACTCGGGGTCCTTGGGCCTCTCCATTCTTCCTCCATACTCGGGGTCCTTGGGCCTCTCCATTCTCCCTCCATACTCGGGGTCCTTGTGCCTCTCCATTCTTCCTCCATACTCCGGGTCCTTGGGCCTCTTGGTTTGGGTTTTCATGAGCTGTAAGCCATAATCATCACAATGATGACAAATCACGGCTGGAACTATCTTGCTTTGCATGGAATGAGTCTCATATAATAGTTTCACCTTTTAAGTTGCTGCACTGAATAAATGAACTTTTGCACCATATTCTCATTGTTTGAGTTTCACCTGTATGTCACTTAGAGGTCTTATGAAACATTTCTTGGTTAGGAGCATCAAATACTATATGTAGAAATACAGCCAATGTGGTTTGGGGGAAAGGCCTCCCCCTTCCTCGTTCAAAATTATTTCTCACCATAATAAAGCATAGAGACATGGATGGGGGAGGGGAGTTTACACTTTCAGTTTGTGGTTCTCAGATACAATTAAAAGAGAAGTACAGCTAAATCTTTTTTTTGGTCATATTTCTCTTCTGTGTCACAGGGGTGCATTTACTTTTCCTCTTGTGACCCAGAATCGGCCAACAGCAGGCTCAAGCCGACATCACAAAGCTGCTCTAGACTCTGGAAGGATCCCAACCATGTTGTCATGATCCACCCAGATGCCTGATTGACAAAATGCCACTGAGAGCCCCAGCCAGCCACTCCCACCTTCTCCCCAGTGAGTGCTGGAGGAGCAGAGCAGAGAGCCGGAGATGGACAGTCATAGCTGTCTGTCCAGATCTGACTGGGAACTGAGCGATCAGCAGTTATAGGATCACTCCGTTCTCAGGCTTAGAGCCAGCAGGGTACAGCTGCAGCATGCAGGTGAGTATTTACACTTACCAGCCACTTTATTAGATCTACCTTGTCAGTACCGGGTTGGACCCCCTTTTGCCTTCAGAACTGCCTTCATTCTTCGTGGCATAGATTCAACAAGGTGTTGGAAACATTCCTCAGAGATTTTGCTCCATATTGACATGATGGCATCACAAAGTTGCTGCAGATTTGTCGGCTTCATATCCATGAACCATTGATACAAGGCAGGATGGATCCCCCACACCATGACAATACCAGCCTGAACCATTGATACAAGGCAGGATGGATCCCCCCCACCATGACACCACCACCACCAGCCTGAACCATTGATACAAGGCAGGATGGATCCCCCACACCATGACACCACCACCACCAGCCTGAACCATTGATACAAGGCAGGATGGATCCCCCACACCATGACACCACCAGCCTGAACCATTGATACAAGGCAGGATGGATCCCCCACACCATGACAACACCAGCCTGAACCATTGATACAAGGCAGGATGGATCCATCACACCATGACACCACCAGCCTGAACCATTGATACAAGGCAGGATGGATCCCCCACACCATGACAACACCAGCCTGAACCATTGATACAAGGCAGGATGGATCCCCCACACCATGACACCACCACCACCAGGCTGAACCATTGATACAAGGCAGGATGGATCCCCCACACCATGACACCACCACCACCAGCCTGAACCATTGATACAAGGCAGGATGGATCCCCCACACCATGACACCACCACCACCAGCCTGAACTGTTGATACAAGGCAGGATGGATCCCCCACACCATGACACCACCACCACCATCCTGAACCATTGATACAAGGCAGGATGGATCCCCCCCACACCATGACACCACCACCACCAGCCTGAACAGCTCATACAAGGCAGGATGGATCCCCCACACCATGACACCACCACCACCAGTCTGAACCGTTGATACAAGGCAGGATGGATCCCCCACACCATGACACCACCACCACCAGCCTGAACCATTGATACAAGGCAGGATGGATCCCCCACACCATGACACCACCACCACCAGCCTGAACCATTGATACAAGGCAGGATGGATCCTCCACACCATGACACCACCACCATGAGCCTGAACCATTGATACAAGGCAGGATGGATCCATGCTTTCATGTTGTTTACATCAAATTCTGACCCTACCATCTGAATATCGCAGCTGAAATCCAGGCTCATCAGACCAGGCAACATTTTTCCAATCTTCTGTCCAATTTTGGTGAACCTGTGCAAATTGTAGCATCCATTTCCTGTTCTTAGCTGACAGGAGTGGCCCCCAGTGTGGTCTTCTGCTGCTGTAGCCCATCTGCTTCAAGGTTGGACGTGTTGTGAATTCAGAGATGGTATTCTGCATACCTTGGGTGTAACGAGGGGTTATTGGAGTTACTGTTGTCTTTCTATCATCTTGAACCAGTCTGCCCATTCTCCTCTGACCTCTGACCCCAACAAGGCATTTTCCTCCACACAACTGCCGCTCACTGGATATTTTCTCTTTTTCGGACCATTCTCTGTAAACCCTAGAGATGGCTGTGCGGGAAAATCCCAGGAGATCAGCAGTTTTTTAAATTCTCAGACCAGCCAGTCTGGCACCAACAACCATGCCACGTTCAAAGCCACCTAAATCCCCTTTCTTCCCCATTCTGATGCTCGGTTTTAACTGCAGCAAGTCGTCTTCACCACATCTAGATGCCTAAATACATTGAGTTGCTGCCATGTGATTGGCTGATTAGCAATTTGTGTTACCGAGCCATTCAGCAGGTGGACCTAATCAAGTTGCCGGTGAGTTTATGTTTATTTATTTTTTTAACAACCCCAAACTACTCCTTTAAGTTCCGCTTTAACTTCCAATTTGTAAGTGAGAGCAAATATCGATTTTCATTCTTTATCACTACAAAAATCACGATATAAATGCGGTCACGACACACACCAGTGCACTCAACACTCCGCATTCAGTAACAGCCCTGGTAGGACACGCCCCCTCTATTCCACTGAGAGGTGTGGCTGTTACTCAGCTATGCCATCACAGAGTACTGGAGTGTGAGCGCAGGAAGAGGAAACAATCATTCAAGGCATTTCCAATGCAGGAGAGCAGAACTATAAAGATATAAAAAGCTGATTGACTATAATTGGGATATAAAGAATATAAACTATACCGCTGCGGGCAGAAACTAGAGGCGGGTGCAGTCTGCTACTTCACCTGAATCTCACACCCGTGTTGCTGTGTTTACTCTCAAATGGCTCTAATAAGATGTCATCGTAGATGATTAAAGTACCAACTAGTAAGTTAAGTACAGAGAAAGAATTAGAACAAAATCAGCGCGAAGGAAAAAAACACCATCCAGCGGCAGCAGTCAAGTAGCGTAATTATGAGCAGCATTCATACTGGTGAGAGTCTCTCGAGATTCTTGTCGGGATGCTGTTATGACAAGGCTCACCAGCAGAAGCGTCAATGGCTTTCATTATTCGTCCTGAACGAAGAGCAGGAATTGAGGCTTACCAGCCAACTTACCGCATGAAGAAACCTCAATTCACTGAGGGGAAGTGATCAGGGAGATCAGCAAGGGGGCTAAAGTGCTGGATTTAGATATACACTATATTGTCAAGAGTATTGGCCCCGCCCTCCAAATCATGTAATTCAGGTGTTCCAATCCCCTCCAAATCATGTGATTCAGGTGCTCCAATCCCCTCCAAATCATGTGATTCAGGTGCTCCAATCCCCTCCATATCATGTGATTCAGGTGTTCCAATCCCCTCCCAATCATGTGATTCAGGTGCTCCAATCCCCTCCAAATCATGTGATTCAGGTGCTCCAATCCCCTCCAAATCATGTGATTCAGGTACTCCAATCCCCTCCAATCATGTGATTCAGGTGTTCCAATCCCCTCCCAATCATGTGATTCAGGTGTTCCAATCCCCTCCATATCATGCGATTCAGGTGTTCCAATCCTCTCCAAATCATGTGATTCACGTGCTCCAATCCCCTCCAAATCATGTAATTCAGGTGTTCCAATCCCCTCCATATCATGTGCTTCAGGTGTTCCAATCCCCTCCATATCATGTGATTCAGGTGATCCCATCCCCTACATATCATGTGATTCAGGTGTTCCAATCCCCTCCAAATCATGTGATTCAGGTGTTCCAATCCCCTCCAAATCATGTGATTCAGGTGTTCCAATCCCCTCCAAATCATGTGATTCAGGTGTTCCAATCCCCTCCCAATCATGTGATTCAGGCTTTCCAATCCCCTCCATATCATGTGATTCAGGTGTCCAATCCCCTCCCAATCATGTGATTCAGGCATTCCAATCCCCTCCATATATCATGTGATTCAGGTGTTCCTATCCCCTCCCAATCATGTGATTCAGGTGTTCCTATCCCCTCCCAATCATGTGATTCAGGCATTCCAATCCCCTCCATATCATGTGATTCTGGTGTTCCTATCACTTCCAAATCATGTGATTCAGGTGTTCCAATCCCCTCCATGGACACAGGTGTATACAATCAAGCCCCTAGGCATGCAGACTGCTTCTACAAACATTGGTGAAAGAATGGGTCGCTCTCAGGAGCTCAGTGACTCCAAGCGTGGTCCCGTGATAGGTGGCCACCTGGGCAATAAGTCCATCTGGGACATTTCATGGCTACTAAATATTCCACGCTCAACTGTTAGTGGGATTATAACAAAGTGGAAGCAACTGGGAACAACAGCCACTCAGCCACCAAGTGGTAGGCCACGTCACATGACAGGGTGGGGTCAGCGCATGCTGAAGTGCACAGTGCGCAGAAGTCGCCAACTGTCTGCAGAGTCAATAGCTAAAGACCTCCAAACTTGGTGTGGCCTTCAGATGAGCCCAACAACAGTGCGTAGAGAGCTTCATGGAATGGGTTTCCATGGCCGAGCAGCTGCATCCAAGCCTTCCATCACCAAGTGCAATGCAAAACATCGGATGCCGTGGTGTAAAGCACGCTGCCACTGGACTCTAGAACAGAGGAGATGTGTTCTCTGGAGTGACCAATCACACTTCTCTGACTGGCAATCCGATGGACTTGTCTGGGTTTGGTGGGTGCCAGGAGAATGGTATTTGCCTGACTGCATTGTGCCAAGTGTAAAGTTTGGTGGAGGGGGGATTATGGTGTGGGGTTGTTTTTCGGGGGTTGGGTTTGGCCCCCTAGTTCCAGTGAAGGGAACCCTTAAGGTGACATTTTGGACAATTTCATGCACCCAACTTTGTAGGAAGAGTTTGGGGATGGCCCCTTCCTGTTCCAACATGACTGCACACCAGTGCACAAAGCAAGGTCCATAAAGACATGGAGGAGTCAGTTTGGGGTGGAGGAACTTGACTGTCCTGCACAGAGTCCTGACCTCAACCCCATAGAACACCTTTGGGATGAATTAGAGCGGAGACTGCAAGCCAGGCCTCCTCCCCCGACATCAGTGCCTGACCTGACAAATGTGCTTCTGGAAGAATGGTCCAACCTTCCCATAGACACCCTCCTAAACCTTGTGGGGGGCCTTCCCAGAAGAGTTGAAGCTGTTATAGCTCCAAAGGGCGGGGCCAATTCAATATTGAATCCTTTGTGGTCTTGTTGATATCACATGCCTATGAGGAAGAAACAATGAAAGTCTTATCTAAACTTCAACTGAACCATCATAATTGTTCTAGGATTTTCATAAACAGAAACGACCTCCATGAGCATGCAGAGGTTTTCTTTAGTCCAGGGCAGGGGTGTCAAGCTCAATTTCATTGTGGGCCTCATCAGCATTATGGTTGACCTCAAAGCTCAAATTTTATCTGTAGGACTAGATGTTCAGAGCACCCATAACATCAGATCTCAAGAGCCCCCCCAACCATCAGAAGTCAAGAGCCCCCCTCACCCTCCTTTACAACATAGTGCCCCCCCTTATCTTGTGTTGCTGAGGGAAGAAGCTGGGGGCAGAGCTAGGAAGCAGAAAGTTGCAGGGTCTGGAGAAGAACCAGAGGAGGGCTGGAGTCTGCTGCCGGAGTTTGCTGAATGCTGAGACCAGGGGAAGTGGAGATGAGAGGTTTGACGGGCGTGAAGTCAGACCCCAGCCCTTCTCACCAAACTCGTGACCGAAGGACTAGCCAATCTAAAACCGCGATGTCACATGCATAACAATGCCACACCCAGCTGTACCCTGCACACCGATTTTCCAGCTAATTGGACCACAATCGATGCACCTGCAGCCTGGGAGCGAAAGTTACTGGGTCAGGTTAATTACGCAATTAACCCTTCACACTGCCACCACCTCCTTTTTGTACAGAGAAAGAGGAAACTTAGCAATACACTAGGATGATTGGTTTAATCGTCGGTATACCACTATCACCGCAGACAGGCTACACAGTGGGTTAAACACTCATAGTAGCGCTCTTCAGCGGCAGGGATTTGTTACATTCAAGAGCTATAGAAACAGTTCAACACTTTCAGAAAGTAAGATTTATTACTAAAAGGTCAAAAGGGTGCAGTAGAAATATTTACAGAAAAAAGATGTAACCAATATATATATAAATATACAGAGCACAACAGCACAGCAAACAGATAACAAAAAGAAGTTTCGGTAAATAAGTACTTGCCCACAAAGATGCCCGGGTTTAAGCAGTTTCAAGTCTGCTGAGCTTAACAGGGATTTCTGGTCTCGACTGCTAGTTTCGTTTGTTCATCGCAGGAGACTTTGCTTTCCCTCTGTCTGCTAGATGTTAAAACGCAGATGGTCCTCACTTCTCTGACTACACACAAAGCATAACAGCTTCATTTTCTACCCAAAATCAAATGGTATCTTCCTACAACGGACAAGCCAAGCCTTGGTGGTTGGGCAGAGGACTGTTAGGCAGGGACTCAGCATCATACACTGATTGCATTCCTGAGGGAGGGGGAGTTTAAAAGAAATACCAAAATGCAGACATTTGGAGCAAAATGGAGAATCGCACCTCTCCCTGTGTGCATGATTGTGACAAGAGGGTTCACAGAGAAGCTCAGGATCTGTAAGAGGATTTCTGTCCTCCTCTCTGGTGCCCACTGCTGAGACAAGGGGGTGCCGCAGCTGTGAGAGAGGTGTGAGGTCCACATTAGATGGCCTGGTGGGCCAGATTAAGCCCGTGAAGATGATGGGGTTCACAGAGAAGCACAGGATCTGTAGGAGGAGTTCTGTCCTCCTCTCTGGTGCCACTGCTGAGATAAGGTGGAGGCAGAGACAGTGGGGGTGGCACAGTTGCGGGAGAGCTGCAAGGGCCACATTAGATGGCCTGGCGGGCCATATTCAGCCCATGGAAATGAGGGGGTTCACAGAGAAACACAGGATCTGTAGGAGTTCTTCCCTCCTCTCTGGTGCCCACTGCTGAAACAAGGTGGGGCAGAGACAAGGGTGGTGCTGCAGCTGCAGGAGAGGTGTGAGGGCCATATTAGATGGCCTGGCGGGCAAGATTCAGGCCATGGAGATGAGGGGGTTTACAGAGAAGCACAGGATCTGTAGGAGTCGTCATGTCCTCCTCTCTGGTGCCCACTGCTGAAACAAGGTGGGGGCAGAGACAAGGGTGGTGCTGCAGCTGCAGGAGAGGTGTGAGGGCAACATTAGATGGCCTGGTGGGCCAGATTCAGCCCATGGAGATGAGGGGGTTCACAGAGAAACACAGGATCTGTAGGAGGAGTTCTGTCCTCCTCTTTGATGCCCACTGCTGAGACAAGGTGGGGGAAGAGACAAGGGGGGTGCCTGTGGGAGACGTGTAAGGGCCACAATATATGACATGACGGGCCAAATTCAGCCCTGTGGGCCTTGTGTTTGACACTTGTGGTCTAGAGTCACTATAAAGAAGATGTGGCTGATGGACCACAAAACTCTGAATGGGCCACACCACCCAACAGCAGCTAGATATCTAGTAGCAGTGATATCCAGTTGGCATCTCTAAGGCTGTATGTACCCCTTTGGTTGTAATACCCAGCCAGCAGCCTCCTTGCTTATCCTCGAGGTCCTCATGGTACTTTGTATGTCCCGCAGTCTGAGGCATAGAAAAGGACTAGGTACCCAACATACCAACAGTGACTATATTAAATCCTTATACCCGCCATTCTCAATAAGGGTTCCATGGAATCCCTTCGTAACCTCTTGAAGAACCCTTACTAAGAACACAGTGATTACTGCTAGCAGCTATAATAGCCGCTAGCAATAATTGCACGTAAAACACAACAGGCTGGTTGTACCCATGTTGATTGATCAATTGAACCCCCCCCCCCCCCCCTCATCCGATGGTGCCTGAGGTCCAGGTCCAATGTTACTTGAAAGAGCCAGAACCAATTTTTAGCTGTGAAGAAGAGTTGCATGTTGACCACCACTGTAAGAAGGGCATTCTTCCCTGACCACCAATGGTCAGGCTGAGATTTGTGGGCATGCAGAATGTACCTAACTGGGGTCCAACCAGCCTGTTGGGTTTCACATGCAATTATTGCTTGCGGGTATTATTGCTGCTAGCAGTAATCACTGTGTTCTCAGTAAGGGTTCCATGGAATCCTGGGGTTCTTCAAGAGGTTGCTAAAGGATCCTTGAGCTGTGCCCAATAGACCTCCCATCCTATGGTGCCTGGGTTCTGGGTCCAATGTCACTTGGAAGAGCCAGGGCTTGACACAAGTTTTTTTTTTCGCTGTTAAGAAGACTTGCATCCTGACCACCACTGTAAGAAGAGTATTCTTCCCCGAGCACCAATGTAGGGGGCATTCTTCCCGGTGACCCCCCTTATGACTCTTTAGCTGGGGTTCAGTCAAACCTGAAAAATGTTTCAAGGATTCCTCTTGGTTACAAAGGTTGAAAAAGGCTCCCTTGCACCAAGATATAGCTGATGGGCCATAAAACATTGAATGGACCACCCTGTCCACCAACAGTTGGACACCCAGTAGCAGAGATATCCAATTGGCAGCTTTAGGAATGAATGTGACTCGTCTGGTTATAATGTCCAATCAGCAGCTTCCTTGCCTATCCCTGAGGTCCTCATGGTATATCTGGCAGCCTGGGGCATAGAGAAGGACAAGGTGAAAAACATTCCAAAAGTGTTTTTTTTAAATTTCTTAGACCAGGCATTCTCAACCAGGGTTCAATGGAATCCTAGGGTTCCTCAAGAGATTGCTAGGAGTTCCTTGAGCTGTGGCTGATTAAACTCCAATTGATGATGCCTAGATAATTCCAAGGATAAAGCCACTTGGCAGAGTCAGCGCATGACACCAATTTTTTTGAGCTATCAATAAGGGTGGCATCCTGACTGCTACTGTAATGGAAGATTTCCTCTCCTGGCCACAATTGTAAGGAGGAAATTCTTCCCTGACCACCAATGTAAAGGAAGGGTGGGAAGTCTTCCCTGACCACCAATGTAAAGGAAGGGGGGAATTCTTCCCTGACCACCAATGTAAAGGAAGAGGGGGATTCTTCCCTGACCACCAATGTAAAGGAAGGGGGGAATTCTTCCCTGACCACCAATGTAAAGGAAGAGGGGGATTCTTCCCTAACCACCAATGTAAAGGAAGGGTGGGAAGTCTTCCCTGACCACCAATGTAAAGGAAGGGGGGAATTC